GTCATGTTTAAGGGAACCAGTGTAGGAGCAATGAAGACATTCTCAGCTACAAGAACCTTTTCATTGGGAGTTTCAGCTAGGGTCTTGGATAGTCTCCTAGGGGCAGCCATGTAATCAAGCAAAGTTATCCAGCTAGGGTAGAGAGGGTTCTTAATAGAGATGGGCACGAAGAAAGAAGGTACAATGGAGGGATCATGCACATAATAAGACAAGGGGTCCTGACTTGCAATCATAATGGGATAGCCCAAAGAGTCACTAACAGGTATGATATTCAAAAGATAGGATAGAGTCTTCAGAACATGTGTGTTCATAACAGTTAGAGAGGTGTTATGAAGGTATGGGTTAATGCTCTATCTAATATTAAAGTCAGTACGAGGAAAGTTGAGATAAGGCCACTCAAGAAGGACACACTCTCTCAAGTGTATGTCTAATGGCTCAACCTTTGAAATTTACTCTAATAAAACAAAAGGAGACTCATTTTTCCAATCAGGCTCAACATTATTCAAATTCAACTTATTGTCTTCTGAATTCATATGAATATCCTCAATAGGATCAGGTTTAAGTATAACCCTAAGGTAGAGAGATTCGGGGTTAGTTAAATCAGGATTCAAATCAAGTAGTAAATTCAATTGAACCACTTCCGACTCGAGATTATTACCATCAAAATTATCCAAAGTCAACTTAGTAGGTGATACAACTAAATCAAGATCTTTCGAATTTAAATTCAATGTGTTCAAGGTCAGATTGGCTTCTTTCGAGATCACATTACTATCGTCCAGGCATACTTTATCCAAAGGGATATCCTCGAGGAGATTAGGAGTCGGGTGGACTGAGGTATCGAGGTTTAAAGGTTTGAGATCTCCTAAATCAGGGTTCAAGTCATGCGGTGAATCTGACTCACTTACTTCAGTTTCATCCTCGAAAAAGTCCTCATTGTCAGTGATATCATTAGTGTCCACGAAATGGACGTACTCTGTTTCAGGTTCAGGGGATTTTTTCTTAGCACTGCAGTTTTTGGCTGAAATTACACTGGTAGGGTCAAGAACTGGGGAGGCTAAAGGTTGACTGGGAGGGCTTGGAGAAAACCTACGGGGTGGGGTAGCATCCCTAATGTTACTAAAGGAAGGGTGATCTCGACCACAGTAATGTCTACGGTTCGTTCCAACAAAAGAGGTAGGGTGGTGCTCTAGATGACGGTCACTAGGGGTAGGGGTCTTGAAAGTGTAACACCCAAAGGTTTGATGAACAGGGGGTGATCTAAGCTTAAAACCAATTGGTTGGTCGCTAGTAGAGGGTCAGTATTTTAAATTAAGTTCTCGCCTCATGTCTTTCCAATTAGAAGTAGGGTACTCACCACGAGACTCTTTAAGATCTTCCAATCTCATCCAAAATTGAAGAGCCCGACCTTTTAAGTGAAACTTAGCGATGCTAACCTGGTGAGACTCAGGGATATGGCGTGATTCAAAACAGTCCTCTAATTGTTTAACCCATTCCCTAAAGTAGTGAGGGTTCGAGGAACCATCAATGGTGAGTAGACCGTAATGTGACTCTAAGTGCGGTCGTTGAGGCTTAGGCTCAAGTCTAGGTTGATAGGCAGTGCGGGGCATCTTCTGACTAGCATGATTGAACGAATGGGGCACGTACTTAGAGTGGGGAGAGTCGACCTATTTCTCCATCATAATTTTAGTCATAGAGCCCACTAGGTTAAGGATGTCATCTAACTTCTTTTGAAGTCTTATCGGGTCCATTGGGAAAACGCTTGGAAACACTTAGGGATGAATCTAGATAGGAGACAACACCTAAAAGCAATGTTTAGACTTACTACAAGCTCACTAGGTGGAGCAAGACAGTTTGGACAGCAAAACAACCTAATGGATTAAGTAGTCTAAGTGTAAGGGAATGAGTTTAGGATGTGGACAGCACTTAAACACTTAAGAAAGTAGCTTACAACTCACTAAATGAGTGCTGGAAAACAGTGGACAGCAAAATAAAACAGTGATGCAAAATAATAATGCGATGGCATGCATGTAAACAAGCTAAGGGATAGTTAAGTAGACTCCTAGGATGCTTTTAGCACATGTAATGCATGCTAGCCATGCTCTGATACCAAACTGATGTAGAACGGAGGGGGGTAATAAAAATTAAAGAGCTAAAATTCCATCTCAGATTTTCCTTAATTAATGCATTTGAATTTGAAATTCAAATACGAAAAGAAGGGATGGAAGAGAGGAATTAATTATCTCCTTAATTGAGCCCTTAATTAGGTAGAAAATAATTATGATAGAGGAGAGAGAGAGGGCCAACCAAGGAGGAGGGAGGAAAGATATCTTGATTCGATGTATGTGTCCACATACATTGAATATGGGGATTTAAATTTAAATCTTATCATTTAATTCAGATTTGTACTAATTGGGAGGAATTTCCTAAAATAGGTGTATGATATTTAGGAAATATTTTAAAATTCATATTCATTTGAATTTGAATTATGAAATCTTTTCAAATAAGATACACGCTAAATTAGGAAGATGATAATGGAGTAATTGAATGATTTTTTTAATTAGAATCTTAATTTAGGGAAGGGATTAAAGACCTTTCACAATTTTAAATTCAAAATTAAGAGATGGGAGGGAGTTGTGTAATTAATTCAAATTAACGAGGGAAATTCAAATCTCATATTAATTTGAAATTCCCAAATTGCTTTGAATCAAATTAGGAAAATAATAAGAAGATGATTGGAAAGTGGCGCCTTGGAGAATTGGTCGGGGGACCAGTGGCAAGGCTAGCGTGCTTGGTCGGTAGGTATGAAAAGGGGAAGGGAATTGGAGGTAGAAAGTCGGCGGCTGTGGGAAGATTTAGCCGGCGGTTAAAGGAGGTGAGGGATTAGAGAAAGAAAATAAACCGCGAGTCTCGGACTCTTCCAAAAACTGACGGGTATTGCGTAGGGGTGTCAATTCGGGTCAGCAGGTCGGGTTTGGGTCGAACCCGAATTGACCCGGCTTTAAACGGGTCAACTCGAACCCGACCCGTTTTTGTAAACGAGTCGACTTTTTCAACCCGGACCCGACCCGCTCGGGTTGCCGGGTTGACACGACCCGACCTGGTCAACCCGAACCCGACCCGTTTTTTGAAACGAGTCAGTTTATTGAACCCGAACCCGACCCATTTCATAAACGAGTCGACCCGAACCTGGATTTTCCCGGGTCGGGTTTGGGTCGGGTCAAAAATTGAGACCCCTAGACTATTGCGTTGCCCTTCACCAAGGGACTTCAACAACGAGCCTGGACACATCCTGCAGCTTGTGGGTATTTCATTGCCCTCACATAGGGACTTCCACACTCCTAAAAACTCCCATCGCTCTCAAGAACAAAGTGTAGAAACAAATTTTTTATTAATTCATTATTGATCTAATACAAGAGCAAGAGCCTCTATATATAGGCTTTAAAAGAAACTAAAATACAACTTTGCCCTCTGGACTTACATAAGACAAGACTCTTAAATAAGGGTAAAAATGAGAAATACAAAATTAAATCAAAATACAATTAATAAACTAAGATAAAAAAAGGAGTGATCTAAGCCGTCGATCTTCGTCTCTTCCTTTGATTAACGTCCACCGTCGGATTTCCGCATCATTATCACCCTAGGACCTCTACATAAATGAATGACAAATGAGGATTTATAAAACCAACATTAAATAGTTAAGATAAGGCTAATGATTATGATAATTTATAAAAGAAATAAATAGTTGATTATGCACAATCTATCATAATCAAGATTACTGTCAGCAAATCTGAACTATACAAAAACAAAAGGATGGCTTTTGTAGGATTATGTTGTAAATAATGTTTGGTGGAACATAATGTTTGTTAATTATTAGTACAAAAACAACAAGAACAATAACATCAAGCCTTTGTCCCACTATGTGAAGTCGGCTACATGGATCCTTTTTCTCCATTGTGCTTTGTTAAACGTAAAATTCTCGTTTAAATATAATAAAGAAAGATCATTTATAATACTTTTTAACCAAATCTTTTTAGGTCTACATCTACCTTTCTTTACATATGTCAAATCTAATACCTCTATAATAGAAACAAGCATTATGTCTTCAGTAACTTCATTAATTAATACTCATGCAACCATTCTTGTCACTTTATATTTATTTCGAGCGAGCTGTTTGTAGGTATAAATTGGCCATTAGATCAAGTTTGTAACTAAGAAATTCAGAATCCTTATGCTAGCATGAAGTTGCTAAAGAAGTAAGAACTATGTTATAATTTATGATTATTCATAACCCTAAGTGTTTGCAGATGCATAATTGACTGAAACGAAGTGGTTTTTAAAATTTGTCAAATTTCTGTCAACCAAGCAGCATAATGAGATGATACTTTTATGTAGATTTATCGAGTAAAGATCTATTTTGATTTTGATTTAGATAAATTTTGTGAACATAATGCTTGTTTCTATTATAGAGTTTCTCATCTTAGATATAATACCATAATTAACCGTAGTCAGTTTTGAGAAGTTCATGAATAGTTATTTTCTTAATGAAGGGTTTAGGCCAATTGGTTGATCAAGCCATGTAAAACGAATACCATATAGAATTTGGCTATTTGAAGAATGCAAAACCAGGATTGAGAAACATAATAGCCGTAATATATTTGCATATTTACTCAGCATGGTTGATGAGTTTAGAAGCGGCAATTTGGATAAATAATATAATTGATTCTAGTTGCATTCTCTTGGATACAATTGAAAGGATAATATTAATACTACTATGAGCAAATAAATTAAATTCGCTTAAAAACTCGAGAAACCAATTTTTTTATTTCATAATTGATTAGTGAAGTTTCCCACATTTTTATTTTTTGTTAGTGAAGCAATGCTGCTTCCTTAATCGGCTTCTTGAGGCTAGAGCAGCATTTTCTATTGTTATTGCACGTAAACTATGCAGACATCCTAATTTTTTTACTTTCAACTCTATTTTGCTTGTCATACCTTTTCAGGTGGAGTTTGTTGGTGGCCCCATGTGTTGGAACACTCGTACATTCACTGCATCATCAGGTAATTATCATTTTAGAACTGATATGATATGATTTTGTCAATTTGTTTAGCCAGGATTGGATTCCATTTCAACACTTAGCAGGTGGTGGAGCATTTTGTAATGGTCAGAAAATTCATGTTAGCCAGACTGAACAGGTAATTGATGGTTAATTTTCATTTACTAAATTGCTTTGTGATTTTATTTCTCTATTATACATTGATTTAGGACATAGGCTGATGTAGAACAATCATGGGAAGATGAGATGCTTAATGAAGTTTGCACGTTTAGTTTTAGAGAACAATAATAAGCAATATCTCATGTTGATTTGAACGATAAAATAAAATATTAAAGTGATAAATAGCGTTGGTTAAATTACGTGCATAGAAGTTAAGAGCATAAAAATTAATCAATTTAATCTACTTTTGCATACGTGAATGGTCTCAACAATAAATCCCTTTGTTAACATTAAAACCAGCTATTACTAGGAAACCTTCACTAAACTCTTCATATTACTAGGCTTTAGCGGAGGGGCCAACAACATCTTTGTGAATCAAAATATAACCACATTGGAGAAATAAACTAAGAGGCTAAAAGAGTCGGAGGTCGAGTTTACCCGAAGTATGAAGTATACGAAGCTCCGGTGGTCATAGGAAGGCTTGGAAGGAGGTAGGTGGCATCCACGAACCTTCTTGAAGCTGTGATCAGCAATCTGATGCGTCCGGACAGCGTTTGAAGACCTTCCACTCGGTTGGACAGCAAGAAAAAGGTGCAGGTTTTCTCAGGACAGCACACTCTCATGCCCAGAAAAGTCTCAGGCAGTGAACGGGGACTTATCTAATCAGTTGGACAGCAAGGTAAAGCTGTCCCGAATGTGCTGCAGTAATAGGGGCTGGCGGGAAATGAGGGGCAACCAGCTGTCTTTTCTGGACAGCAGTTTGTGAGCCCTCGAGTTGCCGGAGTACTAGGGACTGGTGTAGGAAAAACTCTGGCAGCAGCTTGGGATCCAGAAACACTAGACAGGGGTGAGATTTATCAAGAAAGGAGAGGAATAATCTTCACAAAAACTGCTAGGCAAGTGGCGGACAAGTGGGGCCAAGATTTGGAATTATTTCCAATTGAGGGTAGGCTGAATTTTGGGAACAAATTACTGATGTGGGCTTTGCAGGTTTCGGCTGAGAGAAAAAAAAATGTGTCAATTGTTTACTTATTAAAAGCAATCAAATTAGGAGGAATTGATGGCTCATGACCCCTCTTAATTTAATTTTGAATTTTGAATTGAAGAGTTAAAACTCTCCAATTATAGATCATGCCAAATAGGAAAGGCTTCAAATCTAAGATTTGAATTCAAAATTTGAATTGTTTCCCTCTCAATCTCCATACTCCAAGCTTGGAAGGAAATTAAAGTGAAGAGGGCATGGGGGCTGGCGGCATTTAAAGGAGGGGAGGGATTAGGGGAAGGGTTTTAATGCTTGCTTCTTTGGGAATTCTAATTAAGGAGGGAAGAAGTAAATCCAATCCAATTCAAATTTGGTTTGGATTTGATTGGAGAAGTTTCCTAAAATAGAATTTCATTTTAGGAAACAATTTTAATTTCAAAATTGATTGGGTGATAGGATTTGAAAGCTTTCCCGAAATGTCTATGTCAATTTAGGAAATTATTTGAAATTCAAATTTGAATTTCAAATTAAAAGTTCTCCTAAATTATTTGGGTGAAATTTTGGCAAGATGGAATGATGGTGGAAGTCATCATTAGTGGTGGGAGGCCAAGGTGGCCGGCGGCAAGGAGGTGGGAGGGCCGGCGGCTGATTTGGGGAAAAGGGTGGTGGACGGTGGGAGGGGGAGGGTTGGTGGGTGGCTGGCGTGTGGATCTAGGGAGGAGATGACTTACGGCTAGGGCAAATGAAGGAGGGCCGGCGATGGTAGCAAGGGGAAGAGTCGGACCACGAGCCCCGGATGATTCCGGCGACTGGTGGGTATTAATTTTGCCCTTCACCAAGGGACTTTCTCCAATTTATATTTCAAGCATGGTTTGAATCATACTACTTCATTAGATTTTATTCTTATAGTTTAATTTTGCTATATATTTTAGGTTCACACGTAAATCTAAAGTTTGAACATTTCTTCATGTGGGTACATACGTTTCAAAGGTTTGTTTGTCTACATTTTTGATATTTTACATCATATTCTCGTTTTAAGTATATGACATTTTGCCTGTAGATATTCTAAATTGGACCATGAATTTTGTAAATATCACAATCAAGTCCTCCGTCCATCTTTACTGGGAATGAATCATTGATTGTTGGTTTTATTTGATTTTTATTAATATTATCATCTTAAATATATATTAGATTTATATATAAAAACCTTGGCTCTATTTAATGATTCCCTTATTGGCTTAATTTTAATTGGTCGCTAATTTGAGAATGCAAAATCACCTATTATCTTAATAGCTTACAAGGCTGATGATAGTGAATAGAGGAGGTTGCTGACAATGAATAGAATGGGAAACATGAAACTTTTTAATTCTTCTTGTTATATTGAGGGAGAATCCTTTCCTTAAATTTCACTTGCTTGGCATTGGAACTAGGATTTGAGAGTTTTCCTCCGGATCTTTTTGCAAGATCTTGTCGATGTGGAGTTGTCATTGTTTGGAGATTAATCAAGAATATAATAATGTTGAGTTTGTGGAGGGTTGAATGTATTTGGTCTTACCTCTAAGTTTCTTGAGTGGCTATTCTCTTGGGGATCCGACCTTTAAATCCCAATGGAGGCAACCTAGCCATTGCTCCAAATTTGTCCTCCTGATTAATCAATAGTATATAAAGATTAATCAATATTTTGCCCCTAATAAAGCTAGTAAACTTGGCATAGCGTTCCATAAGTCTAATATTTTGAATTGGTTATGACGAAGCAAATTTATAGTAGTAAAATAATAAAATTGATTGACTAAATAAATAATTTTTTTTTTGGTAAAAGAGATATTTAACTATTTAGAATGTTTTCTACAGGAGTAGGACAATTTTTTTCATCTACTTGAAATGATGATACGATGAACATGAATTGAAATAATATAATAATAAATCTGTGTCATTCTTATCAAACCTGGTGAAACATTGGCCACACCTTTAAAAGCTGGTGCAACTTACCCAATATTCTATCGTACTAAGGCAGGCTTGTCATATGTTAAGATAAGGTGGTTCGATTGTAAATTTATTGGATTAGATCGATGGATTAGGGTCAATGTTGGTTTGCCTTCAACGTTAGGCTAAGAACTTTCTTTGAGAACTAATATATGTTTATTTGAGGTTGCCTTGAACCTAATCTTTCAATCCGGAATAAATTGGCCAAATTATGTATTAAAGGTGATTCTGATGTTTGACTTGATGAAACAGCCATAACATTATTTGCAAGATTTTTCACACGCTTGTCACAAGCCATTTGGAACCGAGCTAATTGCTTATTGAAGTCTAGCATTGATCTATTTGTTCTGATTTGAAAGAACAGTTCCCTTTTATTCTTGAGATTCTTGTCTTTCACTTGATGGAACCAAGCTAAATGTTTTGCACAAGTATGACCCCATGCTTATATATTGTATGAAATATCTAATGATGGTCTAGTTATGGTTAGGCCAATTAATTTACATGTCAATCCCAGCCTGTTTTGAAAGCCTTTTATACTCATATGGCACTCGTTGTCTTTAGCTGTACTTTACCTAAATATGCTAGGGATAATTAGGTTTCATTAAACTATGAGTAATGATCATAGAGTATCTCTTTTCCTTCAATTTGATCTCTAATCTGAAATTCCACATCACTTCATCATCATCATCAGCATTATCCGAACAATTAGGGATCAATCTTATGAACCTCCGCTCTCCCTTCATCTTTGTTGAGTGCTATATGAGGAAGCAAATTTATTTCGTGCAAATCCTTTCCATTTATTTCTAGCCTAGTTTTCTTGCATTTTTACCTTTTTTGGGCTAATCTTTCTACTTTAGTTCTATCAACTAGTCTTGTTGATACATCTTCTAATCTCCACAATACAAGCTTAAACCGACTAAGCTTATGTTCTATTACATTATATTTTTGCAGCTCTCTACATCTCTATAATATAACATTTTCTCATTTTATACTTCTAACTTCAACATGCAACAATCTTTGCTAATTATTTTTCTGACAGTTAATTATCAATATAGATCAATCATAGATGATCAACTTTGTAGTTATATATATATGCTTTTACTTAGTAGTACTATGTGATATTTCTCAATTTTAACCATCTGGCTTTAGCTCTTAGACTTATGTTCTAATCTGTTCCCTTTTTCTTTTTGATAATGCATTCAAATTACTCAAGCTTATAACTATATGTAACACTTGATCTTTTAACAAGATTGACTCATTATCATTGTCACAAATTGGCTCGAGCACTTGGAATTTTCAAACCACAAAAAAGAAAATCTAATAAACTATTATCCAAGATTTTAGAAAAAAGCCATCATTTATCCATCATAAATTAGAACATACATATTTAGTTCATATTTATTCTCATTTGCTATTCTTCTTCTATATTTTTAAAACTTTCTCTGCTAGCCATCTATCCTATAGGATCTTGAAGCATTTTATTTAATATGTTGAATTTCAATCATCAAGCTTATTGGTTAATTATAACTCTACAATATAACAATAAATTAAAAAAAAAACTTTATGCATATTTATCCTAAGTAATCATTAAATGTTTTCATCTAAAATAAATTAAACATGAGCATTAATAAAATAAAAATATTATTTTGTAGAAAAATTCTTTATACTATAATTATCAGGTTATGATTTTTAATATGCCATTCATTTTAGAAGTAGTGTCTAATGTTATACCGATTAAGACACATTTCTATTTCCATTTCCTTTTTCAAAATATTTTATTATTTGTGCATGGGTACATTACTTTCCTAGCCAATATTATAAAGAATTAAACTTCATTTACATCCATATACCTTTCTTTTTAGTACATTCCTTTCATTATTTTATTTTATTTTATTTTTTCATTTAAAATCGTACATACATGAAGTTCATGAGGTTGCTTTCACATTTAATGTGTATTACACCCTAATAAAGATCATTTTATTTTTCCTTTTAATATAAAGTATTGTTGCAAATATTAGCAAGCACACATAAAATATGTCATGTGTTATTAATTGCATTGAATCATAAAAAGAACTTTAATTACTACAACAACAACAACAACAACAACAACATCAAGCCTTTATCCCACTACGTGGGGTCGGCTACATGAATCCTTTTTCTCCATTGTGTCCTATTAAAAGTCAAATTCTCGTTTAAATCTAATAAAGAAAGGTCATTCCTAATATTTTCTAACCAAGTCTTTTTAGGTCTACCCCTACCTTTCTTAACATAAGTCAAATCTAATACCTCTACTCTCCTAACCGGGTCATCGCAAGGCCGCCGTTTTATGTGACCAAACCATCTAAGGCGACTTTTTTTTTTTTGAACAATAATCAAATAATCAAACTTGGGTTAACTCTCATCTTAATTGTGTAGGAGAAGGGATATTCTCTTCTCTTGTTTCCGGTGGTGGAGCCAAAAAAGTTTTCTAGTGGGAAGCCAAATTGATTTTTTCAGATATTCCCCTAAAATTTTGTCATCCAGGCTTGGGATCAATGTTGGCAGTTAAAAAAGAATTATTGAATTTATTATTTTAAAAGATAAAATATTAAATATAAGACAATAAAAAATTTATAATTTATAATGCTTCTTCATATTCTGAAAAATTTGAATAATTACTTCATTATGAATACATTCTTATTTTTTAACATCATAAGATTCTAGTGAATGCTCTGGAGTTGGGAAATCACAAATAGGGCTTATTTCATGAATTTTTGTTAAAGAATTTTCCATTGGCTATCATCTTTAAGGTGACAACTCAATCATCTAGTTTTTTAAATGTGGTTTTGAGGCTGGTCATGCTAATTCTACATTGTTGTTTAACAAGGGGCAATTTGTGTTTATGAAACTAAAATTATATTTAACCAAGTGTGTCTGATGAAATGGTCGTCATCTATTAATCCTAATAGATCCCATTCTAGTATTTTCAAATTTAATCTCAACCTAAAGTTATGGATATTGAGATTTAATGTTTCCAATGGGCTAATTTCATTGATGAGTTGCATTTCAGGAGATGTTTTCAACCATTTACTCTATTGTCCTCTTTCTTACTCCTTCAAAGAAGATTTTTTGTTTTATTTTGTATATTTTTATTAACATTGCTGTTGTCAGGTCCCAAATTTTGGATAAGAAAAATGGAGGGTTGCGTTAGGTAGTCGATAACCAGTGTAAAACTTATCGAATATTCCTGAAATGAATCCTTTAATATATTGTATCCCCACATAGTGGGATAAAGGCTTGATGTTGTTGTTGTTATTGTTGTGTATATTTTTATTATGATTAATCTAGTTCAAATTCCATAATTTACATTTTTCGCCGAAGATTTCTCTTATTATTATTTTTTCTTAATAGTCTTAATGCATTTTTGATATGTATTGAGCTTAGGTCTATATAAGGGTTCTAATCTTATATTAAGGCATTTGATTGGGAATTATTGAAGCTATTAAAGCTATTAAAGCTTCTCCTTCAATATCTTGTTCTCTGTTGCTCTCATTTTCTCTATTCTCATCACCTCCTATTTTATCATGTTTCTCACAAATATATTCTCTTGATGCACTACTTCCCTTTAGGTGGAGCGTTCACTTCTTGTAACTGGATTTGGATATGAACATGATGACGCATGGGCAACCAACATGAACTTATTCAAATACTTTACTGACATAAGCAGGGTATTTTGAGTTCAAAAGGTGTTCTACGTAAGATATCTGTTTAAATACTTCTATCTTATTATAATATTTTGAGTGACATGTATAGGGGGTTCGTAGGCTTGGTGCAGCTGCTGTGGATATGTCGCATGTAGCCTTAGGTATTGTTGAAGCCTATTGGGAGTATCGTCTTAAACCATGGGATATGGCTGCAGGTGTTCTGGTAAATCAAAAAATAGAGTTAAACAATTTCTCAGATATTTGCTTTTTATTTGTAGAATGTAAATTTCCATATTTTTTCTTGTTAATTAAGTCATTTAGTATGATCTTCATCTCATGCCACAGCTAGCCTTTTTTTCTATTAGGTTAATTACTTGTTACAATAAGTATTTTTAAAGCTTGCAGGTCATAGTTGATGCGTGTTTAATGCCTCCTGCAATTATTCTTTGTGTTTTAAATTTCATTTTATATTTTATATTGACCAAGTTTCTTAAATTTAGAGATTGTGGTGTATGCTTGCCATAATGCCTCTTGTAATTACCTATGCAAGTTATTTTTAAATTTTTCATATGTTTCATACTGACCAACATATAGTTGTGGGCAAGCAATGAACATTTAATTTGAAAATGACCACCTCTTGCTCTTTTAGGCAAAAAAGGATGAATTATTTTTGTACTTGCAAGAAGATTCCTTATCTAAGAAATTCTTTACCTTCCCCTTCCCCCTTTATGTATGATAGTTGTCATGAACGACCATGGACATAGGAACTATTCAGAAAATAGGAATATGAAGGTTGAAGTTATCATTGTACTACCATCATTGGTATTAAGCATATTTGATAAATATATTGAAGTAATTGTATTTAGCTTTCCATATTTACAAAGAGTACAGAAGACCACAAATAATTAAACACTGTCAAGCTTTTGTTACTTCCTAAACTGGTGTTGGTTACTAATTTTCTTGTTGGTCCACAAGAAAATCTTGACAATGACTGCGAAGAGTAGCAGTGTATCACTTTCTTTACTTTGGAATGCAAGATTCCTTCTTTAAAGGTAGAAAAAAGTGAAGGGTGGTCATCATAAAAACTTTGCAAATGTAGGAATGAAAGAAATCACTGTTCTTATCCTAGGAGATGAGTGAAAAACGTTCATACCTCTACACATAACAAAAATTGTACGTACACATGAACATATGCAGATTCAAAAAAAAAGCATGAATGCTTTCATACCATTGGAGTGCTTGCACAGGGCTCACTTTTTGAATACTCAAATGCAATAGAATCTGCTTTTCTTGCATCTCATCCTTCTTGTATATAACTGTCCAAGAGATTATCGAATTGAAGTTCAGAAGGTGTTGGCAATTCTTAATGAAAGTTGAGCAAGAAGGCATGTTTAAGATTTTTTAACATTTATCTTTCAACATTGTCATTCCCTTTTATTGTAATCGCCATAATCAACATTTTCATACCCTTTTTCGTGCATTCATAATTGCATATTTGCTGTCTTTTTGCTGAGTATTTGCAAAAGCACAACAAAAGGATCCTAAAAGGACAGCAAATCCGAACGGCTGTCGCCGTCCGGTCTCTGCACATAATAATTTCTCTTAAATCTGAGTCATGTTCCTGAGGTTGCTGCGTAAATTCTGATAGGTGTACTCCTAATGAGACATGAGGCGACAATAGAATAATAGATCAATCCTATGCTTCACGCATAACGCATGAAAAAGTTTCACCACGTGATGTTGCATGATAAAATACTTAAATGTGTCAACTTTTTTGTTCTTGTACAATTTGATGAAAAAAATATTATAATTTTCTGATGCGTCTTTTCTATTCATGTCATGTTGTCTCACTCAGGGATTTTAACTATGCACTAGTCACTACTAAGCATAACTCTACCTGATAATATCAACTTTTCATTTATTATTGATTATTGCTTAATGTTCTTCTTATTATCTGAAGCGCTAGGAATTAGAATTTGTGATTCCAAGCTAGACTTGCCAGAATGTTTTCTTATAGATTCATGACTTTTTGAGTGAAAATTCTCAGTTTTTAATGTCTTTTTGTATGCTTTGATGTTGTTCCTATTTTTTAAAGCTCCTATCTGTTCTTTTCTTTCATTCCAAGCTAGGATCACAATCTCTCTCTCCTGATTATTCAGATAGTTGAAGAAGCTGGTGGAACTGTCACATGCATGGATGGGGGAAAGTTCTCAGTGTTTGATCGATCTGTTCTTGTTTCAAATGGCATTGTTCACGAAAAGGTTTGGCGTAATGTTCAAAAATCACTTTCAAGCCTGATAGATTCTTTTCCTATGACTGCAGTCACTGTAGATCCAAATGGTTTATTAAACCTCAATTTGGTCTTTTCCATTGCATTTTTCCTTCCAAAGAAAAATTAATTTTAGGCCTTTATTTAACACTTAGGCTTCGTTTGGGCCGGCTTTTTTACTGCTTCTTGAAACAACTTTTTGGTACAAAAAATTTAATATTTATACTAAAAAGCTGCTTCGAGAAGCAGTAAAAAAGTCATCCCAAATGAAGCCTTAGTTTGAATTTTGAACCCATTCCTCATAAAGCCATTTTTTTAGTTTGCTTATCAACTCAGGCTTCGTTTGGGACGACATTCTCACTGCTTCTTAAAGCAGCTTTTTAGTATAAAAATTTTAATTTTTGTTCTAAAAAGTTGCTTTAAGAAATAAGAAAGCCGTCCCAAACGAAGCCTTAATCATAGATATTATCCCATAGAATATATTTCCATCATTTGTTTGTCTCTGCTTTTTTCCCAGTAAATAATAATTTATCAGCTGAAGACACAAAATGAGTGTCTTGTACTGATTTATTGAAATCTTTCTTACTATTCCCTGCAGCTTCTTGAGAAGATTGGTCCAGCTACTGATGATTTGAAGGAGAAGGGTATTGATTTCTCCCAATGGTTTAAGCCTGAGAGCTATGTCACCGACATCTGAGTCTTAACTTGGATTTTTATTATAAAACATCTTCCAGTTTGGTTTACCGTTTCTTTGTGGCCATCTCAATAAACATAAACAGCATTCTTCTGCATTGTTTAATTTCAAGCCATTCTTTGATGAAGAAAAATCAATTTTAATATGCTAATTCTTGTGAGAGAATGTTCATAGTATGAACCATCGCAATACTCAAAGCTCTATGCAATTTCATTTAAAAAATATTAATGAATCGGTAGCTTGGGAGATGGCTCATTTAAAAATTATTAATATAAAATAAATTAGGATTTAGGATTTTAAATATAAATTTGTTAAATATGTTTAAAATTTATCTCACTTTTTTATATTAAGTAATTTATTATTATTATTTTTAATATTTTTTTCATATTATTTTGTTATAATAATTTTTTCTCTTTCATAATAAATGAGTTGGTTCATGAATAGACTCCAACTCTTTGAGACAAATTTTGCAATTTTTTACTAAAAAATAAAAATATTTGTAATAAAAAGCTTCTTTAAGAAGCAACAAGAAAGCTTTCATAAACGAAGCCTATAGCTAGAGCTCAAACTTGATTAATTAATCAAGTTTAAGCAAAGGGTGTCTCAAGTTAGGCTCAAATGGTTTACAGTTACGGTGTATGTTTTGCTTAAGAGGAATTTGATCTTAAAGAAATGGTTTGATAGAGGTAATGGAAATGCTTCAACGTATGCTGAGTTTTATAAAATGGGAGTAGGAGAAATATAATATATTTTGAATTTATGGAGTTGTTGGATTGTATATTAATTAGGTGAACGTATGCTGAGTTTCAAAAATATAAAAATCTCTCTCCCTCCCTCTTATTTTTAATTTTCAATCTCATGAATGAGTTGAAACCTTAATGCAAAATCAAGATCAATTCAGCTACTATCTTTGCCTAAGAGGTTGCTTTGTAGGGCTAACATTTTATTTTCTCATTTCCTGTCCTCTTTTTTCTTTATCTAATATATTGAATATATCATCTTTTTATATTTTTCATTTAGTTAGTTTGATCGAGTTTGCAAATTAAGTATATCAATTAGGGGTGTCAATTCGGGTCAACGGGTCGGGTTCGGGTCGAACCCGGAACTGACCCGGCACTGTTCGGGTCATCCCGAACCCGACCCGTTTTTAAAAACGGGTCAGGTTTCTGGACCCGAACCCGACCCGATTCGGGTTCGGGTCAACTCGACCCGACACGAATGACCCGGGATTGACCCAAAATTGTTAATTTTCGGGTCAAAAATCAGGTCAATCTCGGGTTTTCGGGTCAAAAATCGGGTCAATCTTGGGTTTTCGTGTCAAAATCGGGTAAAAAACGGGTCAATCTCGGGTTTTCGGGTCAAAATGATTTTTCGTGTCACTTTCGAGTCAATTTCGGGTTGGCGGGTCAACCCGAACACGACCCGATTTTTAAAACGGGTTGATTTCATGAACCCGAACCCGACCCGTTTCGGGTGGGTTGACCCGAACCTGGATTTTTCCGGGTCGGGTTCGGGTCGTGTTTCGTGTCGTGTCAAAAATTGACACCCCTAGTATTAAAATTAAGAAATAATTAAAATATTAAAATTAAGAAATAATTAAAATAAGTTATTAAATTTATAATTAATTGAAATAAGTTATAAAATTTATAATAAATCAATTCTTTAGTTAATAAATTTTTTATACTATTTAGAAATACATTAAAAAAATATTAAAGTTGGTAATTAATCAAAATTTATTATTTTAATTAATTAAAATAAGTTATGACATTAAAAATTAATTATAATAATTTATTAAATTAATAATTAATTAAAAATAAATTATTAAATTAATAATTAATTAACATAAGCTATAAAATAATTAATTACAAATATATATTTTTTTCCAGAAATTTTCAAATCCGCTGGAAACTTCGCCTGAAAAACATCCGTCAGAAATCCGCCAGAAAATTCGCTAGAAAATATGTCTGAAAATTAGTTAGAAATATTTCATTATAATTCGTCGAAAATCCGCCAGAAAATTGGTCGGAAATTAGTAATTTTCCTGTAGTGTTATTATCATGCATCATGGTTTTTTTTTTGGTAAAAGCCCACAGAGGGCTTATGCGTTAGTATTCGAAAATTAATTTCAAGTCCTTAGAGGGATCCACCACTCACTATATATGCTCAAAGAGATACAATCAGAAGGAGAAAATGACCTAAAGAGTTATAGATCCCTATCTAATTACATTAAAAAGAAAAAAAAAAACACATAATATACATCAACCAAAACCCAAAAATAAAGTCCAAGCTTCAATATACCAATAAGCTCTCAGATATCATAACACAATATGCAAAAAAGAGTAAGGAAATGCAATATATAGAAATAAAGCAAAACTACTACAAAACATAGAGAAAAATAAAATAAAAAAACCTAAAAAGAATAAAGATATAGAAAGCCACAACCAACCAAACGAACATACAAGACAAAGCAATACGACCATCATCAACAGGCCATAAGGAATAACCTAGAGACACCCAGCAGAAAGAACACCCAACAACAACAAAAACAACATCAAGCCTTTATCCCACTACGTGGGGTCGGCTACATGAATCCTTTTTCTCCATTGTGTCCTATTAAAAGCCAAATTCTCACAAGAACATAATCGAAAGACAAATCGACCAGCCCAATAGAAGATAAGAGATCCCCAACCATGCAACATCCCCAAGCAAGCAACAAAAACATAAAAATCCCTGCAAATAGCTCACAAAGAGAACAAAGAAACCCAACAAGCAAAAGAAAAAACAAAAACCCCTAGAAAACCAAAAACTAATGGCCACCCCACTATAAGGCACTCACCCGAAATCTGACATAAGCCATAAAACACACCCAAAGAGAAAAAATGAACACCACCCATACTCAACCCCTCAAGGAACCCACTAAAAGGCGCCAGACAAACAAACCCCCAAAATAGAGCAGGAAAAGGAGCCACCCGAGACAACAAAACACCAAGAGAACCCCATCCAACAAAAGAAAATAAAACCACAACCTGAAATATCACAGAAATGAAATGAAACCAATAGAAGCAGAAGCTAGCATCCCATAGTCACCATAGCGAGCACAAGAACAATAGGCCTAGGAAGGCCATCAAGCCAAAGAGAAACACAAAAAATGAACAAAAAAGCACTACCCAACCTACAATTAGCTGATATAAGGAAAACTTGAGGCATATAGCATGATTTTACCTTTCAAGATTCCAGGAGCATTTAAAATGTTGACAAGCACAAAACCATTACTCAAAGTTCCCTCCTTTGCCAGCCAAACCACACAAGCATTGCCAACCCTCTTAATTATATATATATATATAACTATATATAACTACTAAGCAAAGCCAAAATTTTTGAAACATATAAAAATTAATAGTATTTAGGCATTTTTGGTAGAAATAAAAAAGCAAACCTTAAGAATCCATTTCAACCCATAAATTCCGAATGTTGTTTCATAGCAAAGCCTCAATCCTTTAAAAAGGGCATACAAATCATCACATAAAATATTACAGTTAGGCATATTAGAAGCAAAGCCTCTCACCAGCTTGTCATTACAATCACGAATCATTCCACCACAACTAGGACTCAAAATAGACCCAAGAATATTAAGTTTAATTTCATCATAAATTATAGGCTTTGTACATTTGATAATCTTAGGAGAAGAAACCACATTATTATTCTCAATACTAATATTAAAGAAAATAGACCAATCATTCCTCTCCCTAAAATGCTTGTAAGATAACATATTAGCCTTGTAGAGCTATTGAATTTTTATCTTCAAATTACTTAACACCCTATGAAATTAATACATTTTGGCGTCATTAAGTTTAATATTATTCCTTTCACCCCAGAGAAGTCAGAAGACCAACAAAGGGATGAAAGTAAAAATATGCACTTTAACTTTATTATGAAACCAACCAGCTAAAAAATAATAAATGGTCTTATTGTTAAACTCAATTTTTATGTGCAGCCCATCCTCATTTGTAGGACAAACCCTGATAGGAAGAGTACCATTCAAAAAAAAAAAAAAAAAAAAAAAAGGCTAATAGTCTTAACATAATAACAACATTGACACTAGAAACCAAAACTAACCCTTTTTCTTGTAGCCTACTATCAACATAAATATAACCTTTTAAAATTCTCCGAGCTAAAGGAGTAGAGGAATTTCAAATTATGCAAAAAATAGGGATAACAATTTTTTTACCTAAAAAAAGTGCCACTCTTTACTAAAAATAAAATCATCATCCTCAAATAATTTAAACATATTTTGATTATAATTACTGATAATAGGAACGTCGCATAGGTTGTCCACCAAGTTTTGAAGAATAAACTCAAGATAATGAATATTAGACAAAGTGTCATTGCTAATGAATCAAGACACTTTCAATGAGGATGTAGAATGAGTATTGAAGTGTGAGTCAATAAACCTAGCACCATACCAATCATCTTGCCAAAAGTGGGATGAGATGTTGCATATTCCCTATTGAATGGTTGATTCAACTGATCGTTTAATATTGCATAATCTTTTCCACCCAAGAGACTGACACTACTAAATAAAAAAAAAAGTGGTCAGATGAATATTCTTACAATATTTCTGATTTATGAATTTGGCCCATAGGGAATTATTTTTCATGAGTTTTCACCATAACTTGAAGAAAATGCTTTTCACTAAATCATAAATAAATTTACAACCCAAATCCCCCTCAAATAAAGGGCCAGTACAAGCTAGCAACCCAACTAGACAAATGCTTATTTTTAGAATTAGCAGTGTACCCCCCAAAAAAAAAAAAAATTAATAGCTTTCTCTAATATATCATAAACAATAATAATAGGATTAATGGTTTGAAGGAGGTAAATGGGCATAAAACATAGAACACTCATAATCAGATTAAACCTTGCCCCCGTAGATAGAAGTTTGAATTTCTAAGCATATAGCTTATTGTTAATAATAAAAATTATATTATCAAAAATTATATGATCAAACAAAAAGGATTTCTTATGACCTTTATGCAAAGGAGTTCCAAGATAAAAGATAGGAAGGACCTAATTACAAAAATCAACGTATAATTTAATATTATTAC